ATGGAATTTGAAAACTACAGTCTGGATACATGGGCAACTCATAGCTTCTAGGTCACTAATGTTTTTAAACCCTTTAGTAGGGGTGCCTGGCTGACTAAGTTGGTAGAGCATGCAACTCTCAATCTCAGGATCATGAGTTCAAGCCCCACATAGGGCATGGAGCCTACTTAAAAAAATAAATAAACCCCTTAGGTAGAAAAATAATACCAATATTACCACTAACAAAAGACTAATAAAGGCAGTTTAGATTTCTTCATATTTCTCTTTGTGCTTGAGATACAGAATTATCTTTGAGATATTCTCCTAATGGTAAGTCAAAATATTTTAACACCATTTGAAATTATTATTCTTTATGTTGTTATACCAGAACATGATGTAGAATCAAATCCACTGGTTTTGATACAGGTTTATTTTCCTTTTTGACTTAATTTTTAAAATAAAAGCTGATATGTAAAATATCTACATGGATCCAAAGTCAAAACAAAAAGAAGGTATAACCAAAGATAAACCTTTCACCCTTGCCCTCCCCTGTTGTTTCATCTTGAGATTCCTTTTTTTTTTTTTTCTCAATGTTTATTTATTTTTGAGGAACAAGGAACAGAGTGTGGGTGGGGAGGGGAGGGCAAGAGGGACACAGAATCTGAAGCAGGCTCCAGGCTTTGAGCTGTCAGCAAGAAGTCCTGATGTGAGGCTCGGCGTTTCACATGAATCATGACCTGAGCTGAAGTCGGACACTTAATCTACTGAGCCACCCAGGCGCCCCGAGATTTCTTTTTTAAAGTACAGGTATATATAGTATCCCCCTCTTCTTTCACAAATATTAGTATAATAAACATATTCTGCACTTACCTCTTTTTCATTTAAGATACTCTGAAGATCACTCCCTAGAAAAACACAGATGCACAATACTCCACTGTACATTCATATGATAGTTAATTCACCCAGTCTATTGCTGGACATCTAGGTTGTTTCCAATTTGCTGCATTTACAAATCATGTTTTTAAAAAATTCCTTAGTGTATACCATATTTTGTAATTTTATGAGTGTATCTTTGGGATAGAAATAAGGGTGCTGGTCTTATGGTAAATGAATGAGACTACACCTGGACATTGCTTAATTCCCTCCTATATGGACTGTACTATATTTTTTCATTTTCATCAGCAATTTCAGAGTTCTTGTTTTTTCAGTCTTGACAATAGAGTATATTAATACCCTTTAGGATTTCTGTGCATCTGGTAGGGATGAAGTGGTATCTCAATGTAGTGTAACTTGCATTCTCATCTCAAATTTTAGAATCTTTAAGGATATTAGTCTGTGATATACTTGCAAATATCTCCAATTTTTCATTGTCCTTTATCTTTAACATGGAGTCCTATAAAAATTATTTACTTTTTTCTTTATTTCTACTTGGATTTTTGAGTCATACTTCTTAATATCTCCATTCCAGGGTTATAAAGAAATTCACCCATGTAGTATTTGTAAAGTTTCTTTCTGTTTTATTTTTAGTTTTTACATTTAGATATCTGGATTTATTGGGAATTCATCCTACTTTACACTGTCAGAGAGGAAACTGATTTTTTTTCCATAAATTTTATCCAATTGTGCTAATACTAATGATTAAAAAATTCTTTCCCAAAATGAATCTAGCAGAATGGTTCCTGCAAAGAAAGGTGGTTAGGGAATGACTAAAGAATTTCTGTTATCTCTATGGTAGACTAGAGAAGACATTATCAAAATTCACAAACATACCAATGGAAAGGGGTTCAAGAAACACGTACCTCAGGCATTCAAGGAGATCCAGGAATTCACAATGAAGGAGACAAGAGCACCAGATATGCACACTGATACTAAACTCAACACAGAAGTCTAGGCCAAAAGAAAAAGGAATGGCCATAGTTATCTGTATATGGACGTCCAGAAAGCTGTTACATTTCTCAATGTAATCATCACCTTAACAAAAATAGTCAGCATGAATGAAAATGGCTGGTTTATTACAATAAAGTAATATAACAAAAAATTTTCACTTTCCCCACATGAGTTGAGAAATTCCACAGAAGACAATAATTTCAGAGGGAAGTATGTTCCCTAATACTGTTTAACTACTGTTAAAGAACTGAATTATGTGCTACATACATGTACATAAACTCAATATTCTTTAACTTATGTAACACTAAAAGGTATCAAGAAAATACTCTTAGAATAAATTAAGTGCTGAACTGGTAAAGTACATCTTCATCAATGATACACCTTGCTGTTATGCATAAACTACAGAATTATCACCTATCCAGGTCAGAGTTTAAACATTCTGGGTAAACATCATTTGACTATTGTATTAGTTTTTTGTTTTTGTTTTTAGAGAGAAAGAGGGAGTGAGCACAAGTGGGGGAGAGGCAGAAAGACAGGGAGAAGAGAATCCCAAACAGGCATCGCACTTTCTGCACAGAGCTTGATGTGGGGCTTGAACTTCTGAACTGTGAGATCATGACCTGAGCCAAAGACAGATGCTTAACTGACTGAGCCACCCAGGTGCCCCTGTATTAGTTTTTGTCATGTATGTTCATGAGTAAAATTCTTCTGGAATTTGTTGTTCAAGGGCTACTCCACATCTAATTTTGTTATCAGAATTACGTTAGTCTTTTAGCATCTGCTAGCAATTTTTCCATAGGATTTTGTTTCTTCAGGGAGCAGCCTGTACTCCTACATGAGTTATAAAGATTATTTTTTCTAACTTAAATTTTTTGGCCCCTTTTAGTTACTCTTGAAATTTAATAATTTATTTTCCTAGAAAACAAACTATATTCTATTTAAAATTTGTTTCTAGTAAGGTTTATATCTCTTCATATTGTCATTAAAAATACCCTCTAAAACATGTACCACATTTCTCCTTTCTTATGATAATGTTAAGGCATTGCTACCAAGAAACATTTTGACTTAAAATAAAAAACCTTCTGGGGGCGCCTGGGTGGCGCAGTCGGTTAAGCGTCCGACTTCAGCCAGGTCACGATCTCGCGGTCCGTGAGTTTGAGCCCCGCGTCGGGCTCTGGGCTGATGGCTCAGAGCCTGGAGCCTGTTTCCGATTCTGTGTCTCCCTCTCTCTCTGCCCCTCCCCCGTTCATGCTCTGTCTCTCTCTGTCCCACAAATAAATAAACGTTGAAAAAAATTTAAAAAAAAAAATAAAAAACCTTCTGTATTGTTATTTATTCCATGAATTTTTCTTTATTTTCGTTAAATAAAGTTTTCCATCAATTCAGAGGCACCTGGGTGGCTCAGTCGGTTAAACATCTGACTCTTGATCTTGGCTCAGGACATGATCTCATGGTTCGTGAGTTTAAGCCCCACCTTAGGCTCTGCTCTGGCAGTGCAGAGACTGCTCGGGATTCTTTCTCTCTCCTACTCTCTCTGTCCCTCCCCTGCTCACACACACTCTCTCAAAATAAATAAACATTAAAAAAAATTAAGAAAAAAACACATTTCTATCAATTCAAATGCCCATTGGGGCATCAGCTCTTACTTTAGCTTGTTAAGTAATCATTATTTAATTTGACAAATACTTGGACTCTACAATATGACAGGCACTGTTATAAGTGCTGGAAATACAGTGGTGACAAGAAGTAAACTTCCCTCAATTTTCTTTGTTATATACATAAGAGTAATTTCCATCGAGAGCTGCCATGGTCATGTTCATAGGATTTGACATATAGGAGTTTTGTTATCATTCACATCTAAATAAGCCTGTAATTTCACTTTTGATTTGCTCATTACTTTGATAATTTATAAATGTAGTGTTAAATTTCCAAGAGATCAGAATTCATTTGGCTATTTTCTAATTTCTGAATTTCAGGGGCACCTGGGTGGCTTAGTCAGTTAAGCATCTGACTCTTGATTTTCGCTCAGGTCATGATCTCACAGTTCTTGAGATTGAGCCCCACATTGGGCTCTTGCTGACAGTGGGGAGCCTGCTTGAGATTCTCCCTCTCTCTCTTTCTCTCTCTCTCTCTCTCTCTCTCTCTGCCCCTACCTGCTCATGCTTTCTCTCTCAAAATAAATAAACTTAAAAAAAATAAATTGTCATTGTGGTGATAAAATGGATATGACATTTGGCTTTAGAAATCTGTTAGGGACAAATCATTTCTAAATGCCTTTAAAAACAAAACCAAAAAAAAAAAAAAAAAAAAAAAAAAAAAAAAAAAAAAAACCACTGGTGAGCATTCAACAACTCCACTTTCATTAAAACCATAAGGCTTTCTTTATAGTATGAATTTTTTTATGCAGCAAATGAATTTAATACTGATTCAAAGCTTTCTTCCCTTCCGTTTGACTGGTTTTTCTTCAGAATTAGCATCCTGCTATTCAATAAGACACACATATAAATGGCATATTTGTCTACATTTATTATATTGTTAAGGTCTTCCTCTCATAGAAGCTAACACTAATATTAATGATGGCTATTAAGTCATTGAAGTCATCAAGCTCATTTAACCCTTGTAATCAAATAAGGAAACACAGATTCAAGTTACTTTCCAAAAAATACAAAGATAAGAGGTGTTGAAACTAAGACATGCCAAATAAACTGCATGACACAGCTCAAGGCTTCCCAAGATTAATTACATAACAGAAATTCACCTTTGGTATAATTTTGTGGAACTGTAACAAAATTTAATAGGAATGGAAGGTTTCCCTATGTGAGTTAGATTTAAATTCTATGCAGAGTAGTATCAATGATGTGGAGAATGTTTTTAAGAATGATTCAAGAGAATCACAGTGTCATCTTTTTCATAGGGTTTTACCCTGATATTCCAAATGGAAAACCAATCAGTAAATGCTTTCCTATATTAATATAGATTGCATTATGAATTCTCTGCTATTTAGTGTGTTGTGTGCTCTGTCAAATGTTCTTCCAATATTACTTATACTTGTGAGTTCCTCAAAAGAAGGAATTAACTGACATCAATTAAGGAGTTATGAATAAAGACTTCCTATATTTTTATATTATAAGACCTCACAAGAGTGAAATAAGATGAGAGCTTGGAGAAAATGTCTCAAAATTTTTACATTCATAGGATTTCTCAAAAGTGTAAATATCCTGATGTTGAGCAAAGTCTGAGTCCTGACTAAAGGTGTTCCTATAGTCTTTCCATTGATAGAGATTCTCACCATTGTGAATTTTCTGCTCAGTAAAATATGGATGGGGACTAAAGATCTGGCTACTTTCTTTACATTCATATGATTCTGTATCAGTATGAATCTTCTTATGTCGTGTAAGCTGTGAACCCCAGATAAAAGATTTCCCACATTCTTTACATACATAAGGTTCCTCACCAGTATGTATTCTCTGATGTCGAGTAAGTTGTGAACCCCAGAGAAAGGCTTTTCCACATTCTTCACATTCATATGGTCTCTTTCCAGTGTGGATTTTCTGATGTCGATTAAGTTCTGAACCACGCAAAAAGGTCTTTCCACATTGCTTACATTCATAGTTTCTTTCACCAGTATGAATTTTTTGATGCCGATTAAACTCTGAGCCATGACGAAAGGTCTTTCTACATTCCTTACATTCATAGAGTTTCCTCTCATTATGAATTTTCTCATGTTGAGCAAGATAGGAGGCCCAAATAAATGTCTTCCCACATTGCTTACATTCATAAGGTTTCCTACCATTATGAATTCGTTGATGTCTAGCAAGGTGTGAACTCCAGATATAGGCTTTTCCACATTTCTCACATTCATAGGGTTTCCTACCAACATGAACATTCTGATGTTGAGCAAGATTTGAACCACGAATAAAGGCTTTTCCACATTCCTTACATTCATGAGATTTCTCACTAGTATGAGTTCTCTGATGTTGAGTTAGGTGTGAACCACGAGTAAACGCTTTTCCACACTGCTTACATTCATAAGGTTTTTCACCAGTGTGAATTCTCTGATGTTTAGTAAGATGTGATCGCTGACTAAAGGCCTTTCTACACTCATTACATTCATAAGGTTTTTCACCGGTATGAATTCTCTGATGTCGTGTAAGATCTGAGCCACAACTGAAGGCTTTCCCACATTGTTTACATTCATAAGATTTCTCACCAGTATGAATACGCTTATGAACACTAAGTTGTGAATGAAATCTAAAGGACTTCCCACATTCCTTACATTTAAAAGGTTTTTCACCAGTATGAATCCTCCTGTGACCAGTAAGACTTGAACGCAAACTAAAAGCCTTCCCACATTCTTTACATTCATATGTTTTCTTGGCAGAGTGTACTGTCTGATATTGAGCAAGTTCTGAATCAGAAAGAAAGGTCTTCTCATATTCTTTATCTTCACAAAATCTCTCACCAGTGTGAATTAATTGATGTTGATCACAGTCCGAGCCAGAACAAAAGGCTTTCGCACGCTCTTTAAATTCATTCAGTTTCTTTCCTGTATCAAGTCTGTGAGCTGTGTGATGGTTAAAAGTGGACATTTTTTCATCGGTGAGTATAACTTGCTTTAAACATTCTTCCTGATTTTCCTGTTGTGTTTCAAACTGACCTTTGCTTTCCCAATCAGCCCTAAAACATGAATATTCAAGGTTGTGTTTTTTACAGATTTCCAATTGAGATAATTCTCTCTCAAAAGTAACACTTTTTTGTGATAACTCCTTGGTTTGACATCTGAATGGCATGTCTGAAAGATAAGAAGGTAAATTCCTACTGTTTTACTGTTCAAAAAGAAATAAAACCTCCAATGTAGATATAAGAAGTAAATCTTAAAATACATAAAGCACACAAGAAGTGAATGGCTTAAGAAATTCTCAAATTCTGGGTGATATGAAAAAAAGGTGGAAAATAAATAGAAATTTAAGAGAACTAATAAAAGTTGAGGTGGGTGTTTCGATATATAAAAGCTTTGTTTTAGGGGCACCTGGGTGGTTCATTCGGTTGAGCGTGCAACTTTTGATTTCAGCTCAGGTCATGATCTCATGGTTGTGAGACTGAGTCCTGCATTGGGCTCCATGATGGGGGTGGAACCTGCTTAAGATTCTCTCCCCCTCTGTCCTTCCCCTACTCTCTCTCTCAAGGAAAAAACAAAAAACAAAAAAAACCAAAACCTTTGTTTTGGTCAAATTCACCTGAGCAATTCAATTTAAGAAAATAATTATTCGGGTACCACCCAATCATGGAAAGCCAATGTAAAGATAAAACTGTTTCACTCAGTATGATAAATCAACCTTCAGCATATGTCAGGCATTAAAAAAATAATTCTGTAAAAAATACACTATAAAACAAACAAAAAAAGTGGAGTAGGGGGAATTTAGGATGGAATAAAGGATAATATTACAAAAACCAGGTACCAGGAAGCACAACTGGGATCATTTAGTCATGTGAGAACAACATAACACATCGCACTGTCTAATCCCTTCCATGTTTACTGAATATCCTGCTTCCATATTACTTTCTGTACAAATAGGATGAAACAAGAGCATATCTAAACTAACTCAAAGACAAATATGCAGAAATGTAATTACAGCTACTTAATTATGCTTCAATTTGCCTTTGCACACTTAAAGACTTCACCCTGCTCATTTCCTCCACTGTATAAAACCAAGCCATCTTTTTGTCACATGACTTCAACCAAGGTGCTTTTGTTTTCTTTATTCTTGAGTTTATAGTATTGCTCAACCATTCTGCTTTATGCTTTCAGGCCCTTCCAACAGGTCTTCTCTTCCTTTCCCTTCTATCCAAGGCCACTGAAAATATTTCACAAAATATTTACAAATTTCAAATACTATGCAAGATACTACAATGAATATCTTACATAATTCCGAGCTTAAAAACAGTAATGTTGGGAAATAAGAGTATCAGTCTTATATGTGGGAAGTTGTCTGGTCTAGAGTTAACAGAAGAGCAGGAACTCAGTAACACAGGTATGTTGCATTTAGGTTAAAGGACATAATTATGGGTAATAGTTCAAAAAGGAAAATACTTTGAGAAGTTTTGTCAAGGGCAAGGAGTCTGGCATGAGCTAAGAATAAGTAGGACCCCTGTGTGACTCATTTTTGATATGTGCTAGGATTTGATGAAATTGTCATATGGTTATGCTACAAATTTTTCTTGGGAGGAGAGAGGTGAGAACTGAGCAAGTACTCTAGCAGTGACTGAAGAAGTTGAGAGGCAGTTCAGTTACATGTATAAGTAGTAGTGTATTGTAGTGGAAAAAGGACAGACCACAGTTTCAGGCTCAGTTCTGTTCACTAACACCATCTTTAGGTTATGAGAAAATTACTGAGCTTCACTGAGCTCTTATTTTTCCATATGATAAATAGGGACATTAATATATTTTTTAAAGAGATTTATTGAGAGGGTTGGGAAAACATACTATTTTTATAAAGTGCCTAACACAGAAAAAGCACCACACAAGTAGTACATGATGATGATGATGATGACGATGATGATGACAATGATGATGATGATTAACGATTAGAGAAGAAAAACGGAAGGGACTGGAAATGGTTTAACAGTATCTCACACATAAACAATTACTAGAAAATGATTATTATTACTGTGCTAATTATTACAGGCAAGGCATTTAAGATAAATGAAATATCAAATGAATATAAATCAAAGACATTAAAATAAATTCCTCACATAATAGAATGTGATGAGAAAAGTTACTTTGAGATGCTGCCTAGGCATCTTATAGTATGACAACCCTGCCCACACCCAGAACCTCAGCATTTAGATTAAGATCTGAGCTTAGGATTCCCACCATGAGTTCCTGCGTGGTTTTTCCCAGTCACTTTAAAAATAGCCACATAGCATTGAGCCCACAAAAAGTTAGTGACCTCAACCCCAACTACCTTCTAAGTAAGGTGCTTGCTACTCTGCTTTCGTATCTCCCACTTGCTCATGACCTGGGATGGAGGACTGTCCTTCCCACAGCTCACTGTGTGCCCCTGCCCCAATTTCCACAATTCATAAGTAATAAATCTTGTGATTTAACTTCCCTTGTGTAATTGTATTAAACCTGTGCCTTCAATCACAATGACTCCAGCATTTTCACTTCTCCAAAGTAGAAGCTTGGATGCTGAGGGAGCTACCTGCCAACCCTGTGTGGGTGGCTTGTGCCTCCTCATTAAGCAGGTCACGATCTGCATATTCTTAATTTAATAAACAAGCTATGGGACACCCCAAACACAGCACAAACATGAAAGTTAGAAATAATGATCCTACTACATTTTTACTCTGTATCACCCTCTGATTTTTCTCACTTCCATTTACATTCCAGGTCCTTAATTATGACTCTTTATACATCTCTTCTTGGTGAAACCTAACTTGCTGCTTATCCTGAGCCTGAACTAAACAAGTGAACATAGCTGGAAAAAATAAAATAGTGCCTACTAGAATCACTTCTAATTTATATTAAAAAGAAAAAAAAAAACCCATGAGTAGGTTCTCAGCCGTGTCAAGAATTTTTACATATTTCTGGTCAAATAGTATCTCTACATATAACCCAGTGGAAGACAATCAAGGACTCAGAAACAACGCAGAAACTTAAGATTATGACAGAAGGAATACGATTATTCCACAAGTGGTGTTTCACTATAACTGTGTGGGGAAAAAATTATAACTCTTCTTTATACTATATACAAACAAAAACTACCAGTAAATTAAAGACATCAATGGCAAAAAAAACTTTAAAACTTATACAAGAAAACAAACATCTCTAACCAAATCTCTATGTGTTGTCAAACTTACTGGTAAAATATTTTAGATGAACAAAATAAGAAAATATTATGACATTATTTGATATACTGAAAAGGCTCAGCCAATTTTTACTATTCAGATTGTACTGGCACTAGCATTTGGCTTAGAGACTGATAGAATTTATGACATCTCAGGGCTAAGGTGGCAGAGATTAGTATCCAGGGTCTGTCTGCATTCCTCATGCTGTTATAACTGAAAGGCTAGAAATAAGAAACTTGAGTAAAACAGAGGCAGACCTACACAGGAACTATAGTTCAGTTTCAAACTATCTAAGGAGGGTGATGGATTAAGACATCAACCAAAATGTTAATGCCTTCAGGTACTTGAGAGAAGCAAATAGAAATCCTCTATAAAGGAAGGTATCCTGGGCATTAGTTTTACCATTTTGAAAACACTGTCTGGCACAAAATTAAATAAATAACCAGACAATATGAATGTAAACAGACCACAGAAACAATAGTAGAAATACACCTAAAAGCACTCTAGATATTGGAGTTATGAGACAGGGTTTAAAAGTAACTATGCTCAAAAAGCTAAAAACAAAATTAATCATTTTAGCAGAGAACAAGAAACCAATACAAGTAAAAAAAAAAAAAAAAAAAAAAAAAAAGAAAGAAAGAAAGAAAGAAACCAATACAAGTCAAAAGAAAAACTCCAAGAGAAAAAGGTTGGAAAAGTCCTAACAGAAGCATTATGACAGATTCAGTTAGAAGATTAAATGTAAATGTAAATGGAAGCTTAAAGGGAGAAGACAGGAAGAATGGGAGAAGCAGTTATATTTGAAAACATAATGGCTGAGAATTTTCAGAACAAATTCCATGAACAGGTGAATGAATGAATAAAGTATAGCCATACATGGAACACTACAGAGAAATAACAAATAAGCTATTGATACATGCAACCACACAGATAAATTTCAAAATCATGCTAGCAAAAGACACAAGGCTAGCAAAAAGGAAAAAAGTATACATTGTATAACAATTTATGTAACACTCTAGAGCATATAAACTAATCTAGAGTTACAAAAAGCAGGTAGTCATCTCTCAAAGATGGGAGTCGAAAGGGGAATGAATGGCAAAGGGGCACAAGGAAAATCTGGCAATAACTGAAGTATATTTTTCTTGATTATGGTGATTATTTCATGTATATAGCATAATGTCAGAACAGACCAAACTGCAGATTTCAAATATATGCAGCTTATTATTTTTCTGTTTTATCTTAAGGTGTAAAGCAAAAATTTTAGGACCAAAATAAAACTAAAGTCTTAAAGAAAATAAAGATAAATATTCTTCTGGCCACCCTAACTAGGTATTAGTGTATTAGTGTTTCTTTTATGTGAATGCCCACTCACACCAAAAATACAAAATATTAAGCCAACAAATGGTAAGGATAGATCAAGCACACAGCAGACATTTATCAAATAAATACAACCAGTAATTCAGTAAACAAGAAATATCCATCCTCCCTAGAAATCAATAGCCTTTAAGCTATTAAATTATTAGAAGTCTCTACTTAAAAATAACTCACTTGGGGGCACCAGAGTGGCTCAGTCAGTTGAGCATCCATCTTTGGCTTAGGTCATGATCTCACAGTTAGTGAGTTTGAGTCCCACATCGGGCTCTGTGCCAACAGCTCAGAGCCTGAAGCCTGCTTCAGATTCTGTGTCTCCCTCTGTCTCTGCCCCTCCCCCTGCTTGCACTCTGCCTCTCTCAAAAATAAATAAATATTAAAAAAAATAAAAATAGCTCATTTGTAGTGAGACTACGTTGAAACTGATACCATCCCTGACCTTCATGTGAACCAATGCCCTCTGATCCTTCTGAAAACATAAGTATTAATTTCCACAATATACAAATACATTCAAGTCATAGCTACCTCCCAGATACCCATGTGTTTACCATGAATCTGCTATTTGTTTCCAAACCTGTTTATACCAACTGTTTTTGACATTTTAACTTGTATATGTTAGTATCATTATATAAAGAAATATGAAAGAAAGATTGTTTTTTATGAAAACTAAGTGAATACTCTAAAAAAACTCATTTAAGAAGGCTACAAATTTTATTTTAGTAGTTTGGAGTCAATTATAAAGACTGGGGGGAAAAGATTCCACAGTCAGATTAACTAAATTCTTATTCAAAACAGAAACCAAAAAATTAGGAGAATGAATTACTAGTGTGGTTAATATAAGAATAGGCAGAACTCCAATTAGGGAGAGCATGCCCTGGCCTTATAATGAAACATGGGTAAAATGGTTATGGGTTGTAAATAAATATAGTTTAAGGTATTCACATAATTTTCTATGATTTAAAGTAACTTTTCCAATGACAAATCAATTAACTATCTTAAATTAATTGGGCACATTGTATTCTAACTTTAAATCCTTTGGCCAAGGAATTTCATATCTGAGACACAACCATCATCCAATGTGGAAAAAAACCCATGAATAATTGATGTGTACTAAGAATTATAACTTTAGTAACAAGAAATACAGAATAACCTTAATATATAATAGTACATTTATAGTATGTGAAAATTTTACAATTTAACCAGAATTTTAAAAGCACATAACAGTGTTTAGGAAATAAAAATATAAAATAAAATTGCATAGATCTTAGGGACCAGAATATGTTACAAAAGCTTTTATTTTGAAATATGGTTGACCCTTGAACAATGCAGGTTTAAACTGCATGGATCCACTTATATGTAGATTTTTTTCCAGTACTGTAAATTAACTTTTCTTGCATATGATTTTCTTAATAACATATTCTTTTCTCTAGCTTACTTTAAGGAAGCATTATATTACACATGTAACATATAAAGTATGTGTTAATTTATGCTATTGGTAAGACTTCCAGTCAACAGTAAGCTGCTAGTAGTTAAGTTTTTGGAAAGTCAAAATTTATACATGAATTTTTGACAGTGCAAGGGTCGGTGCCCCGAAACACCCTGAGTTGTTTAAGGGTCAACTGTAATTATAAGTTCACAAGAAGTTGCAAGAGTGCCCCTTACCCAGTTTTGTCCAACGAATACATCTTACATAAAGCACAATATCAAAACCATGAAACTGATATTGGCACAACGCATATGTATAGTTATATCATTTCATCACATACGTGGATTCCTGTAAACACCACCACAATCAAGACACAGACCAAGACCATTACTACACCGATTTTACCTCTTATGCTCTCTCTTTATAGCCATAATCACCACCATCACTCTCCCATGCTCATCCCTAACCACTAGCAACCACTAATATGTTTTCAATGGTTATAATTTAGTGATTTCCAGAACGTTCTATAAATGGATTCATTTGGCATGTGACCTTTGGAGTTGGCATTTTTCATTCAGCACAATGTCCTTGAGATTCATTCAAGTTGTTGCAGTATCAATAGTTCAGAAAAAGAACAATTTTAAAACACAAAATATAGTTTCTGGAATTTACAAACATGAGTCCAGTAAGGAAATAAAATTTATTTTCCTTCCTCGGTATTTCAAATAAAAAAGAAGCTCCAAGAGTATGTTATTTCAATCTGAGTCTTGCTCATAATAGAAAATTCATTAATTAACCTCAACTTGCCAAATATACCCCTTGTTTCCTCTTGACTGCTAGGACTTTTATGACATCGCATTCTCTTTGTTGTCCTCCATTAGCCTTAACCTCTCTTCTGCCACTTCCTATTCACTATAGTCAGAAGCCATTTTCCCCTACATTCCTGATTTTCAACTAAGCAGCCTATTACATCTTCTCTTAATTTAGAGCCTATTTTGCTTAAATTTATGGACATATTCCCGTCAAAAAAAAAATACAAGTTTCTTAATAGATTATATACTCTTTGTTAACCCTTCTTATCCTAAAATGAAATTGGAAAATTAGTAGATGTTAGTTAAAAGAATGAATTAATGAGTGCAAGAAATACAGAACCAAGGAGAATTTAGGCAGAGTAAGAAAAATACAAGATTGAGTAGGGAAAATTAAAAAAAAAATTTTTTTTAGAAATTTACAAATATCTAAATGAAGACATTTACAAATATCTAAATAAAAAAAAAGAAAGAAACTCAATTAAAGCATTAATAAATGGACTACTGGAGAAAAAGAATGACACCTTTTTATAATATGAGGAAAAGAAAATGAAGAGGACTGAATTGGGAGTGGAATTTGGAGGTGAAGAGAAGGGTCATTTGGAAATTCATGCTGAAAAGGTTACTTTTGGCTCTAGGTCTCAGGCTTTTGTCCATGGGTTTTTATTCCCTGAGGAAGAAACCTGAGACCAATATTTCAGAGATGGTGCTGCCTCAATAAACATCTGGGCTCTTAGCTGCAATGATGGTGTTCCTGTGCTGGCTCAACCATCACTCACCTGGGCAATGTCCTCTTGTCTCATCCTGTAAAAATATCCAGGGCTCTTTTCCCTTCTCCAGTAAAGAGAATACATCTGGCTGATAAATGCAAAGTCCTGATTAGAGATAAGAAACAAGAAATGACCAAATGGTAGAGGTTTCAAAGTTTGCATCTAGTCCCTTAGTTATGAAGGAAGAAAAACACTTATAGGAAGAGCAAGAAAAAAGCATAAAGTATTTCCAAAGGATGGAGAGGGTGGATGTTCCCACTGAGGATCACTAGAACCAAATTTACAAAGTGTAAGCCATTTTTCCAGAAAGAAGTCAGACATTCCCCTAGACACTTGAAAGACAATTTAAAAATTCACAATGTAGAAAGCAGAAAGTTCTGGGGTCAGTTTGTGAATCTTACCCAGTGAGATCATGTTGCTGTAGTTCTCCAACATCACATCTCTGTACAAATGTCTCTGTTCCAAGTCCAGGCACTCCCACTCCTCTTGAGAGAAGTCTACAGCTATATCCCTGAACATCATCAACTGCTGAAACAACAAACCCAAGCACCAATGGTGAAATTAAAAGAAATCTTTTAGGTAGAAGGGACACAAATGAAAAAGGGCACTGTAGGAAGTGGGACACTCACTGAGCAAAAAACTGAAGTTGGCTGCCTGTAGTATGGGGGACGGGGGGAAATGACATGGAAGCTGAATGCCTATATGTTCTTAAAATCTCCTGTTGTTCAGTCACAACATCCTTATGACCTTTCCGTGACAAATAGCAGACAACAGGATGACAGCCCAGAATCATGAATTCTTTGTTGATACCACAGGGATGCCACACCAGGCTTAAATGACTAACTCCAGATTTATTATGTGCCAAGTTTCCCTTCCTCCTTAGGCTATTTTTAGTTGAATTTTCTATTAGCTGAAATTGAAAGGATTCTTGGAAGAGATACACTCCCTAACTGAGTATCATTTTCTGTGGAGAATACCATTTTCTGTGGGAATGTATAAAATCTCTGGGCTCTAGGCTAAGTAGTGACAATCAGCACATGTCTTATTAATATTAATCTCTCATTGATTTCCTGGCAAGATCCCTGATCTCTCTGAACTTATTAACCTTCCATCACACCCTCTATTTAAAAGCCATGATAAAGTGCCACATACTAAAATGAATACCAACCATTACCAACTCTCACCTTTAATAATCGATATATCCCATTCTACAGAGTAAATAAAAGCTTTCATGTAGTGTATCCTGTTTAGCCACTCAGTTCCACTTTGTCAAGCCACGGATTTGAAAAGAAAGTCTCTACTATTTCCTTTAAGGCAAAATATTTCTCCTCCTTCAGTGCTCTGTCAAAGTATTAGGATGCAGGAGGTGCTGAATGCCATGTTGGACAGAAGAGGGACACCTAGGGAAGGCAGTGGACTGTTTCCCAGCTATCACATACCACACTGAATAGTGACTTAAGCAAGCAGTTTAAGGATAAGAAATAAAAATGCTCATATGATGTGATATAGATGGTTATAATTTTTGGAAAGAGGCAATTCCAACTCACATGGGCCATGACTTAAAATTCTAAGACTCAATCAGTCTTCTAGATTCCTCTCCTGGTGAAGCACAGTCTTGAGAAAGCAGAGCTAGAGGGAAGGAATCGTGAGAGGTCAGGTTTTCCTCAGAGCTTTCAAATGGACTCAGAATTCCATTTTCTTCCCTGAAGAAAGGTCAGAGGGAGTCTGCAGAAATCCTGGCCCAAACCAAAATCCAAGTCCTCATTCTCCCTCCTCCTCTCTCTCAGTCCTAAGTAACCACTAATCTACTTTTTGTCTCTGTAGATTTCTCTATCCTGGACTTTCATATGAATGGAATCTTATAATATGTGAACTTACTATGACTAGTGTCTTTCATTTAGCATAATGCTTTCAAGGTTCAACCAAGTTGTAGCATGTATCAGTATTTCATTCCTTTCTGTGGCTGAATAATATTCCATTGTATGACCTAGATCACATTTTGTTTACCCATTCATCTGTTAATGGACATTTGGGCTGTTTCCACCTTTTGACTATTATAAATATGCTGCTCTGGGGGCGCCTGGGTGGCGCAGTCGGTTAAGCGTCCGACTTCAGCCAGGTCACGATCTCGCGGTCCGTGAGTTCGAGCCCCGCGTCGGGCTCTGGGCTGATGGCTCAGAGCCTGGAGCCTGTTTCCAATTCTGTGTCTCCCTCTCTCTCTGCCCCTCCCCTGTTCATGCTCTGTCTCTCTCTGTCCCAAAAATAAATAAACGTTGAAAAAAAAAATTATAAATATGCTGCTCTGAACTTTCATGTACAAGTTTTTGTTTGAATACCTGTTTTATGGTTTTCAGACTATGAGATTTACACTTCACCAATTAAATTTATTCCTAAACATTTTACGCTTTTTGATGCTATTGTGAATGGAACTATTTTCTTAATTTCATTTTTGGATTCTTCATTGCAAGTTTATAAATATACACTTGATTTTTATCTATTGATCTTGTATCCAAAACCTTTTTTTTACCCCAGGGGCAGGGGAGGGGCAGAGGAAGACAGAAAGAGTGAATTATTTTTTTTAATTTTTTAACGTTTATTTATTATTGAGAGACAGAGAGAGACAGAGCATGAGTGGGGGAGGGGCAGAGAGAGAGGGAGACATAGAACCTGAAGCAGGCTCCAGGCTCTGAGCTGTCAGCACAGAGCCCCACGTGGGGCTTGAACTCACAAACCGCGAGATCATGACCCAGCTGAAGGAGGATACTTAACCGACTGAGCCACCCAGGCGCCCCTAAGGGAAAGAGAGAATCTTTAACAGGCTCAGCAACCAGCACAGAGCCTGACCCTCAATCTCGCAACTGTGATATCATGACCTGAGCCGAAATCAGGAGTCGAATGCTTAACCAGCTGAGCCACCCAGGCGTCCTTTGTATCCTAAAACTTTTCTAAGCTCCTTTATTAGTTCTCATGGTTTTTCTCATGTCATGTGTAAATAGAGAGTTTTATTTCTTTCCCAATATAGGTGCTTTTTCTTTTTTCTTGTCTAACTGCCCTGTAAAATCTCTACAATATTGAATAGAAGTGGCAAAAGCAGCCATTCTTTTTCTTATTCCCGATCTTAGGGGGAAAACATTCAGATACTCACTACTAAGTATGGAATTTTTGTAGGTGCCCTATATCAAGTCAAGGAAATTCCCTTTAATTCCTAGTTTATAGAGTATTTTTATAATGAAAAGGTACTGGCTTTTGTCAAATGTTTTTTCTGTATCTATTAAAATGACCCTGTAATTTTTGGGTTTTATTCTATTTATGTAATGTATCACATTAATTGATTTTTGGATGTTCAGACAATGCTGGGATATATTCCACTTGGTCATATTGTATGAGTGCATTTATATGTTGCTGGATTTGGTTTGCAAGTATTTTGTTGAGGATTTTTAAACTCATTCTTATGAGATATGCTTTGCCTAGTTTTGGTATCTGGGTAATACTGGCCTCATCAAATAAGTTGGGGGATTAGCTGTATTCTTTAATTGCAGCAGAGAAGGCACTGGGGAACTCAGAACTGATAGTAGGAGTCCTCCTGAACCAGGTTACATTCTGAACAACAAAGAAAACCTGGTTGTTCAGAGGAACCATATATTTTTTTTTTTTTGGAACCTATTTTAAAGAAATTGTCTTCTACTGCAGTAACAGAGGAGGGAACTCTTGAGCAGAAGAACCTAAAAACTACCTTTTCAGGGGAAAGTACCAGTGACAGCTATTCTGAGGTAATCTATCACATTCCAACAAACAAACAAACACACACAAAAAATTAGAAGTACTGTGTCCAAAGATATTGTTAGATATAAGTTTGAAATGAATGCCAGAATTCCCATTAGTATAAAGAAAACTGCCTAAAAAAAATCAGAGAATATTAGAAGTATTACCTAACATTCCACTATGAGTAAAAAAATATTTGATGATACAATCACAGCTCTGAGGCAAGACTACATGCACAAATGTTACAATGATCTCAGGAATGGGGAAGAAATGATGAATAGACTATATACAAGAGTTAGTAGAATTCAAGTATGAAAGAGAACACAGGCAAAACCACTTTAGGAGCAAAGAATAAACTACAAGAAGCACAAGGTATGACAAATATAGAAAGTGTAGCATGGACAAAGAATACAGAAATTAGTGAATGGAACAAAATGAAACAAAGAAAGAGATAACAATTATTGGAAGAAAACAATGAAAGTCAGAGACAATCCAACCTGTAACTAAGCAGATCCCTACAGATGAAATCCAAATCAAGGAAGAGAACAAATATTAAAAACTACATTTTTAACATTAAAAAATAATTTCCTGAAATAAAGCATGAATATACATAATGAAAAGACACCCCATATGCAGAGAGAAAGGACTCAAAATGTTCATTTTGAGCCTTAATAAAATTTCTTAATAAACATTTCTTAATAAACATTTCTTAATAAAATTATTAGGCTAAAACCCATAGGAAATCAAGATAAAAATATCAAGTTACCCATGAGAAAAAGGAAATTCAGTTGTCATTAGACTTCTCCACTAAATTCAGTTCCCCAAATAGTGAGGTTAGTCTCTCCAGTATACTTGTGGGAAAATAAATAATAGAATCAAAGAATTAAAAAAAATTTTTTTAATGTATATTTATTTTTGAGAGAAGTAGAGTGCAAGTCGGGAGTGGCAGAGAGAGAGAGGGAGAGAGGGAGAGAGAGAGAATCCGAAGCAGGCTCCAGGCTCCAAGCTCTCAGCACAGAGCCCCATAGGGGGCCAGAACCCACAAGTTGCGCGATCATGGAGCTGCAAGATCATGACCCAAGGCAAAAAAACGGACGTTTAACCAACTGAGCCACCCAGGTGCCTCCAGAGTCACCCAGGGGCCCCCAGAGTCAAAGATTTTATATGCAGCCAAGCTGTCTTTCAAGTATAAAGGATATAAAAAGTTTTATGCTGCATGAACTTAGGGAATATTGTTCCCAGGAGTGCTTTCTAAATTACTGGAGGACATATTCGGCGTTACTGCCGAACACATTTAAAAGCAAATCTAAATTAAAAAATAAGATGGAGATTATGGTACCAGTATGCTGAATGGTCCCCAAAGGTATCTACTACTTGGTATTAACACTGTGTAGTTGTCTCCTGCATTGAATTGAGCAGATTTATGTACCAAGAAGATATTGTGGGAACGATGGAGAAGGATAGGTCAAAAAGGACATTATGGCTTCTACTGTACGTACTCTTGCTGTCTTTCTGCTCTGGGGAAAGCTGTATGACATGTCACAAGGACACTATAGCAGCCTTACAGAGGTCCACATAGAGAGGAACTGAGGTCTTTTGCCAATAGCCAAGTGAGGGAATCATCTTAGAAAGTGATCCTCCAGCCTCAGTCATGCTTTCAGATGACTGTGGCCTGGCCAAGAGTTTGGCTGCAACTTTGTGAGACACTAAGCCAGAGACTCCACGCTAAGCCACTCCTAAATTCCTGATCTGCAAAAATGGTGTTAAGATAATACAGTTTTATTGATTTTTAGGGTAGTATGTTTTACAGCAATAACTAATATAGGGATAAAGCTTACAAAAGGGAAAGGGACAAGTTCACTGATTGCCTCATTTATAATAACTGAGAGAGAAAGGATATCATTTAAAGCAGCCAAGTCATTAGTAGAAATACAGAAATATTAAAGAATAAAAACATGAAGTCAGAGAGAGTAAAATGTCAACTACATTTCAACTTACAAGTAAAAATTAGGAAATTAAAAGTTAGATTTAAAATGACAGTTTTTGGGGCACCTGGGTGGCTCAGTCGGTTGAGCGTCTGACTTCGGCTCAGGCCATGATCTTATTGCTCATGGGTTCAAACCCCGCATCGGACTCTGTGCTGACAGCTCAGAGCCTAGAGCCTGCCTTGGATTCTGTCTCCCTCTCTCTCTGCCTCTCACCCACTCATGCTCTCTCTCCTTCAAAAATAAATAAATAAACATTGAAAAAAATTTTTTTAAATAACAGCTTTTACAATAGCAACAAAATTTTCAAATACTTATAAATTTAACAAAATAAGTACAAGGCCTCTGCATCAATTACTACAAACAATAGAGTGAAATTGCAGGACATCTAAATGAATGGAGGAATTTATCACATTTATGAGATGAAAGGCTGATTATTTTCAAGATGTCAGTTTATCTGCAATATAATGGTATAAAAAGGTTAAAAGTAAAAGGATGGCAAAAGATATACCATGGAAATCATAATCAAAAGGATGCTAGAGTGGTTACATTAATATGAGACAAGGTAGATTTCAGAGCAGACATTATCAGGGAGGAAAGATAGACTTTTCAACAAATGATGCCAAGTCAATTGAATATCTATAAGGGGGAAATGAATTGATCTTTACCTTACAACATACACAAAAATCAATTCTAGAAGGTTTGTACACCTAAATGTGAAAGATATTAATATAGAAGATACAAATATCTTCATGCCTCTGGGATAGGCAAAGATTTCTTTTTTTTTTTTTAATGTGTATTTTATTTTT